AAGCAGTGGTAGTTGCTGTTGGTAATCTTGCTACTGAAAAGGGTATATATGCACTACAGGTAGCATATATATATATATATATATATATATATATATATATATATATATATATATATATATATATATATGTGTGTGTGTGTGTGTGTGTGTGTGTGTGTGTGGGTGTGTGTGTTGTATAGATATATATACATCTACAGTATATACAGATATATGTGTGCGTATGTGTGTGTATGTGCTCGTGTGTGTGATAGATACATACATACATATATATATATATATATATATATATATATATATATATATATATATATATATGTTTATGTGCGTATATATGTTGTATATACATACATATAATGTATATATATATATATATATATATATATATATATGTGTGTGTGTGTATGTGTGTGTGTGTGTGTGTGTGTGTGTTGTGTGTGTGTGTGTGTGTGTGTGTGTGTGTGTGTGTTGTATGTGTATGTGTACTATATATATATGCACGTGTAAATGTAGTCATAAACATTGATCACTGATATCCAGAAGAATTCTCTGTGCTAGAAGCAGAAATGCCACAAAGTCATTTGTATCGCTAAAATGTTTTTTTTTCTGACATATTTGAACTTATTCTTGAGAATTGCAGTCAAATAAAACCTGCCAGAGTAAATTTGAGCTGAATTTCCGTGATGAAATAAAATGTAAATTCTGTATACAATGCAATTACGTTCGACAGCACAGTATGTATTTTTCCCGAAAGCCGAAGGATAATTTCTGCAAGCAAACTCGAATTCGCTCGAGATCCCAGTCAAACATCACCTCTCTTGAGGACCAGAATTTTGAAAACTCCCGCGCTCCGAGACGATAAGGAAAACCAAATTATATTTATTTACTTCTACGTATCCACCTCAGCCACGAAATCAACTTATCAGGTGGACATTTTAAAAGATAAATAAATGAAAGGTAAGCACAAAGTGAGCCATAGCAATGAAACAAAGCGAACGTTCGGTGACAAACGAAGCCCAGGCCTGTGCCACGGCCATGGCTTCGGCGCTTGGACATGGGTGCAAACAACCGAACTGGCCCTCATTGTTTGGTAATGAATTTTTACCACGGCTGTCCCGCTGCACTATCCTTTCCCGTCTTACTCTCGCAGTTTACAACTTGGGTGTTAAATAACCGCTAATCGATTCGATATAGTCGTTGAGGTTATAATCTACGCGAACGTTCTAGAAGGATTTTGGAGACTGCGCTTGTCGGATATAGAAGATAATTAGGAGATTCTGTGCGAGTCTCCGAGGGTGGAATCGAAGCGGTTCCGACAGTCGAGTTGACACACGAGGGTTCCAACACGCCTTTTCGGGAGACTCAATCCGTGTTTAGTTTGGGTGGGATGTTTCTTATCTTTCGAGACTCGCTTCGGGCTCTTTGGATTGAATAATATACATTCAGAAGAGGAGAGAGGAAGATTGGAATCCAGACAAAGATGGATACTATGGAATTTTTATTTTATTATTTTTTTTGTAAAGATTTAAGTTTTCGGGAAAAAATTCGCGATTGCAGCCAGTGACGCGCAGATAATCAAACATCCGGTTTATAGACAAACACAGCCAAGCACATAAAGATATACGGAGTTTGAGGCAAAGATTCTCTCTCTCTCTCTCTCTCTGCTCTCGTCTTCTCTCTCTCTCTCTCTCTCTCTCTCTCTCTCTCTCTCTCTCTGCTCTCTCTCTCTCTCTCTCTCTCTCTCTCTCTCTCTCTCTCTCTCTTCTCTCTCTCTCTCTTCTCAATATTATCGTTATCATCACGTTATTGTTTTACTATCATCATATTATGTTAATTATCACTATTATTATAAACTTGCTAATAATATTGCCAATATTATTATTTTATAATTTTAGGAGTAAAAGTAATTTATTTTTATTGTTATCATGATCAATATCATTATTATTGTTATTTCTTTCATTTTGTTTCTTGAACTGCTCGTGTTTTCAGTGATCATTGTCATTATTGTTTTATCATTTGTTTATTTTTTCACGATATGTGTCATTAGCTTATCTATTTCCTTTTCTTTTTATTATTGTTGTATGTTTTCATAATCTTATTTATTTGCATTATTTTTCTTTACTCATGATTTAGTAGTTATCATTGTTCTAATAATTGTTATTATTACTGTCATCATTATCATTATTTTATTATTATATAATCACCATTATTATCATCATTACTATTTTTATCATTCCAGTCATCAGTATTATCCTTTATTATCATTATTATTGTCACATCATTCATATCAATTTTCTAATTCTCTAGTTTTCAATATTATACCATATATATATATATATATATATATATATATATATATAAATCCTTATCACTATCAAGATTTACAGTTTATTTGACCGCCAATTCCTTTGTCGATTTAAGAGTATCTGTCACTTGTTTGCACAGGGCAGAGTGCGAAAATAATTTTACGACAAATTCTCTCCGTTGTATCAAATTGCACCAT